CCCCCCCTCTCTTCCCCTCCCCTCCCCTTTGTTGAACTTCTTAAACATGAGCAACGTTGATATTGTCCCAGCTGTTTGTCGTGCAAAGAAATGTTAACTGACATGAACACTATGGAAATTGTCATGATATGAAATAGGAGCCACTCTTTCATTTAATGTCTTCTCTGAGATTATTCACTCCTCAAACTTGTTTTCACCTGACCTTTTGCTCCACTGATCTTTGTAAAATGCCGATTGAACAAATTTGTTGTTTTTTCCTGTCTTTTTCACCTCTTGCTCCAGTACCACATTCGTACAAGTTTGGGTGTACTTTTTGTCTTAAGGTTTGTATTGGTTAATAATTTATTGAAGATGATTGTGAATCCTTGTAGGTCAGTTTCAGAGACACAAAGAAAAAGGCTGAAAGAAGCATTTGGTTGGTAAGGTTTTTGTAAAAATGGTAGATCATGCCTGTCTTTTCCGGGTGTCTCCATGTGGGGTTCTCTCATTGCAATGATCTGCTATGTATCATGTCACCTTTATCTCATAGAAAAAATTATGATTATGCCTTATTGACTTTGCCTCTATATTCCTCCCTACTCCCAAATCTTCATAATTTTTTCCTTTTAAAAGGGAATTTTCTCACATGCTTATTGGCTCCGTACATCCTAGTAAACAACTGAAGTCCTTTCAATCTAGGGGCCTAGGGCTCGAAACTTGGATAATTCTTTTTATTTTGCCCTGTCCGTCAGAAACATGACATATTTGGAATGCCATAATTGATAATGAAGTAGAGGAATTCAACACAATAGGAAGGTGAGTTGCTTAAGATTGGCACGAGATCTAAACCGTTGCTATAATTGTAGCAACATAGGAAGAGATACTCGGTGATTGTAAAAAAGGGTATGACAAGTTAAACACTTGATTTTTCCACCCGTGTTACTAGAAAATCATTTGCATTTTTTCCGATTATAATTCGATGAAATGCAATTCATATTTTTGCTGAATGATTTCTGCCGAGAACCCTCTATTACAATCAAACCTTTGACTGCTTTGCCACCGTTGATCACTATAATTATTGAAATTACTGTTGCCACTTAAATCAACTTTATTTTATGGATGTGGTGTGTATGATAATGTAATATTTATTTTGGATAATAATAATAATAATAACAACAGATGTTTTATATATTACTAGGATCGTGTGCCTAAATGTTCATATAGGCCGATCCAACCAGAACTACCATTAAATGAAGGCATGATTTCTTTTAAGATTTGCGGTTTAAATTAATGAAGCAAGAGTAATTTAGTCCGTCGATGTTTTCAAAGTTTAATTTTTTTTTTTTTTCAATTTCCTTACAAGTTTGTATAGAAGGAAATATATTAGTAAAATAAATATCTTTCTAAGTTCAAATTAATTTATGTAAGTACAATTTAACTTTTAGTTTTTAAAAAAAAAATTGTTGTATTGAAGTTAATTTTAATTTCTTAGAAAATAGTATAAAAGGTAAAAATTATTAAAATGAATCCATAATGCAAGGTTAAATTATCATTATTTCTTATTTTTGTCGTATTTTTGTGTAATTTGAGTTTTGAACAATAGCCGCAACGCAACACAATGTAACCGGAGAACGGGAGTTAATAAAATGCTTGATTAGAACTAGGGATGGAATGGGATGGAAAAAGATGGAACAGATAGTTTTTTAAATGGATTGGATCAAAATAAATAATTAATTTATGTGTATCTATTAAAACTTCATTTAGTAAATTCCATCATCCAACCAATTTAAAAATTAAAAAAAAATTAATTTAATAATTTCAAGAGAGTGAGTATTTCAATTTTAAAGTTATGCGATATTTTTAAAGTTATGCAATATTAGCTTTCAAACAAATAATATATCGATAAAAGCATTTGTTTTTATACTTTCACTTTTTTAAAAAGAAAATATTAAATTACCATTATTTTAACTTTTTTCCAATCTAACACGATCATCAACTAATATCTTTATGTTCTTGTTGATCTAATATCGAAGGATTTGGTTCATCATTCTCTGATAAGGGATCCTTGCATTCTTTCAATCCAAAAGGTATAATTTTATAAGTTTTTGTTATAAAAGTTGTCTTCTCTTTGTTCCTCTAATCACTCTAATCACAACAGATCTTATTATAACCTGGAAAAGCATCCATAAATGACAAGAATATATACATGAAATAACCATTTGCTAACTTATCAATGCATGGTAAAGTGTACAAGTCCTTTGTGCAGTGCTTGTTTAAATCTATGTAATTTACATACATTCTCCATTGAAAACTCAGAATCTTGTAAAAAAAATCAAGGAACTAAAAGTAATTATCTCATCACCATTAGAGATGATGAATGTAAATATCGGTGTTATAAATGAGACTGTGTTATTGAATGCATAGTGAAGTGAAAGTGGAGGTGGTGGCAAAAGTTGTTTCATTGTTGGAGTGAGAGAATGATGTAATATAGACATCTCCAAATACACTTAACATGGACACCTATCTTTGACAATAAATTGGAGAGTATCTATCTTCACTCTAAGTTCTTCAATCACACATCTTTATTGCTCCACAATGCCACAATGTTGCTAAAGCAGGGTGATAGGTATCTAATTTTATAATTCAAATTCATTCATCCAATTGCGCTTCTTAATTAAACGTTTGGGCTTATCAATACTCATTCCTTCACTATGGACTTTGTCCTCAAAGGCCTTTGAAGAATCACGTGGAGAAGCTGAACGGATGGTTGACGTGGCAATAGAGGTCACATCATTAGGTGAAGGTGTGTTTGTTGGGGACGGTGAAGATGGAATGTTGGGGTCCGAGGCACGAATCGTGCCTAAATCTAATGGTGGAGATGTGTTGGAGGGATTTTCAAAGGGAACATGCGAGCCAGCTATAAAGGCAGTGGAAGTAGAGTTATGTTTTAAAGTTGGTGTTGTGCATTGATGTGTTGGAACTAAAAGTGTTGAAGGTAATTGAGTGTGAGGTTCCGGGGGAAAAATGCGACGAAGAACTTTAAAAGGGTCGTAGAAATGACGAGCTAATTTCTGAGAACGACGACGCACCACGGAATGTTGTCGATAAGGTTGAAGACGAAGCCAGACCCATGTGCCCGATTCAAAGGTGACCCTTATTAGCATGATCTTGCATGCGTTGACGAGTCTTTTTAAGACTTTCCTTAAGTTTCTGAATCACTGCTTGGCGTTGTTGCAGGGTGTTTGAAACAGTAGCCGAATGATGCAGCTGAGGAATGTAGTCGAGAAGTGTTGGTGGGTGTCGATCGTATAGAGCTTCAAACGGACTCATGCCAATGGCTGAGTGTCAAGCTGAGTTGTACCATAGTTTAACAAAGTTTAAAAATTGGACCCAACGATGAGGATGCTCACTAGCAAAACAGCGGAGGTATGCTTGAAGAGATCTATTGAGAACTTCAGTTTGGCCGTCAGTTTCAGGGTGGAGCAATGTTGTATGAAATTGTTCAGATCCTTGCGAAGCCCCGACCATGAAAAAGAAGCAGAAATACGTGCAAGAGGAGTAGAGTGGTATTCAGTACAAAGTAGAGAACGCCAATTAAGATGATCAGGTATAACAATTCTATTTTTAAAATAAATAAGCCCTTGTTTAAATTGAAAACGAAGATCTGGTGTGTCTGATCCTTGTTGAATCTTGTTTTTCATAATGATTCCTGCCGGGTGCAAGGAGTAAAAGCAACGCAGTTCATCCAACATGGTTGGTAACGCCGAAGAAATTGCCATGAAAATTAATGATGTTGAAGTAGGATGATGACATCGAGACAAGGCGTCAGCAACACGATTCTTTTTCCCGGGACGATAAACAATGTCATAACTAAACCCTTGTAGTTTGGGACATGAGGAATTTTAAACTTTTTTGATCAGTAAAGATACGAAAATGTCTTCCAATTAGAAATTGACGCCATTTTTTGATTGATTCAGTGATTGCAAACATTTCTCTAGTGTAAACAAAATTAGCTTACATGCGGGGACAAAGATTTTTGCTAAAGAAGGCCAAAGGGTGTTGGTTTTGGGATAGGACAGCACCAACGGCGAAAGAAGACGCATCAGTCTCAAGCTTGAAGGGAATATTTGCTTCTATATTCTAGTGAAAAGATGTAGACTTTAATAAATCCGTGAGAGGCACGGCATGGTGCGCTTAATGTCGAACGAATCAACGATAGAATCCGGTGAGGCCAAGGAATCCACGGAGTGCGATGAGAGAGAGCGGGGTTGGCCAATCTAGAATAGCAATGACTTTATCTGGATCGGGCTGAACCCCTTGAGCTGATAGAACATGACCCAAATAATGAACAGTAGGCATAGCAAAAACACACTTAATGAATTTGGCAAAGAATTGATGATCCTTTAGTAACTGCAAAACAATTTGTAAATGAAGTAAGTGGTCAGAAAAAGTTTTACTATAAATTAAAATATCATAAATAAAAAACTAAGACAAAACGACGCAGGTGTAGGTGAGGACGTAAAAGATCATTCATTACACTCTGAAAAGATTATTCATTACACTGAAAAGATGAGGGGGGCATTTTTAAGTCCAAAAGGCATGACAAGAAATTCATAATGACCATTCTAAGTGCGAAAAGTTATTTTATGGATATCAGCTGGGTTGACGCGTATCTGGTAGTATCTCGAGCGTAAATCAATCTTGGAAAAAATAGTAGCACCCCCTACCTTGTCCAAGTGCTCATTAATGGTGTCCAAGTGCTCATCAATGGTGGGGATAGGGAACTTGTCTTTAATAGTGACAACATTTAAGGCACGATAGTCGACACAAAAACGCCAAGTGCCATCTTTTTTGCAAACCAGTAACACCAGAGAGGAGAAAGGGCTAGTACTAAGGCGAATGAGGCCATTAGATAGTAGTTCTTGATAATAGTAGTCATGGTTTCTTTATGAATGTGAGTATCTGTATGGTCTAATTAAGATAGGGGCGGAATTTGGAAGGAGGGGAATATTGTGATCATGTGGTCGTTCAAGGGGAAGGCCTTCAGGTGTATCAAAAATTGAAGAAAATTGTTGAAGTAATTGATGGATTTTGGGATTTGGATGTGTGGTTGGGAATGGAGTCGATGGTGGAATAGGGTCAAAAGACAATAAGTGTAAGGAAGCAACGGAATCTGTGTGGAGTAAATGACATATCTGTTGAGGTGTGGAAGATTGGGTAGTGAAAGTAGAGTCCCCTATGAGGGTGATGGAGGTGTCGTGTTAAGTGAAAGTCATGCATGGAACCAAAAAGTCAAAAATAATAGGACCCAATGTACGCAACCATTCAATGTCTAAAACAATATCAGCACCCTAAATAGAGGAGGTAAGTTGGAACGGTGAAAACATGTTGTTGCACAGACAAAGAAACATTAGAGCATAATCCTGAACAAATAATATGAGCACCATTGCCAACCATAATAGGGTTGGGGTGATGGGTAAACGTAAATGATGAGAATGCGGGGTTGCATAATATTATGGGAACTCCGTGTATCAATAAGCACCGTAACCAAGAGGCCTTGAATAGAACCTTGAAAACGAATGGTTTGTGGAGAAAGTTGACTAGTGAGAGCTTGAGGAGAGAGTTGAAAATGTACAGCTAGAGAATCGAATGTGTCTAAAATAGATGAGTGATCTAATGACATAGGATTGGAGGTCTCAGACAAGTCTAGAATGGGTGGGTCTTCATCAGTTAGGAGAAGAAGGAATTGTTTGGGAGTGCATCTGTGGCCAGGATAGTATTTTTCATCACAATTGTAACACAGACCTTTCGTACGACAATCTTGCATCTGGGTAGGGGTAAGTTTCTTGACTGGAAGAGAGGTGGTAGGTGGCGGGGTGGAAGGCAAAGTCGTAGGTGGGGATCGTGGGATGGGTTTAGGCTTAGAATCACGAATCTTGTCCTCTATCAATTTGGCGAGGCCAATGGCTTGATGGATGGAGTGAGGCATATGGATTGCGAGTTCCCTTTTAATTTCCAGTAACAAACCTGAAAAGAAACAATTAAGGAGTGTAGATGGAGAAAGACCAAAAACTCTATTTGATAAACATTCAAAACGTAGTTGATATTTAGAAATAGTAGTATATTGGCGAATTTTTAGCAACTCGACTTCATGGCTCTCATAAGATGATGGGCCAAAACGAAGCTCAAGAGCCCGAACAAAGGATTCCCAATCGGTGAGTTGATGATTGTTGTGTAACCACTTGAACCAACTAAGGCATCACCTTACATATAAAATGCCATTATGTGAAGATGTTGGTCTGGTGGAACTTAGTAGTAGGAAAAAAATTGATCTGCTTGAAAGACCCAATCAAGTGGATCTGACTCGTCAAAGGAAAGGAGTTGGAGCTTTGGAATACAAAGTTGATTTGAGGGTGGAAAATGTGGAGACGGTGGAGGAAAAGGATTATGAAATGGTGGAGTAGTGAGGTGTGGAGGGGTGGTGATGTGCATGGAACCATCAGGTCCCACTGGCAAAATTAGGAGGGGTATGATGGATGGTGCTAGGCGGAAACTGTGAATTGGCAGTGTTTTGGCTGATGTGGAGGGCGGTGAATTTTTCCATGATATTATTGAGGGTACTAGTGATTGCCTTGAAACGAGCGTCTATGGATGTCGTAACCCGAAAATTTTTGATCTTGCGACCAATGATTTAGACATCCTTTTGAAAATCTCATCAATTAAGGAATGCCTGGACACCAGACTAATCCTTAATTAATGGTTTTAAGAATAGGTTCATGGAGTCGCCACCAATGTTTTACTCAAAACATTGGAAAAAGAAAAGGTTTTTTAAAAAAGAATCCAATAATGGCCTTGGTAACCAGAATTGGGTTCAGGGGTGGGTTACGTGTAGGGCAGGTATTAAGCACCCCTACAGCATCCTCAATCGGTACCCTATGATGAAGTTAACGTGATAAGAATTAATAAATTAAATATTAGATCCCCTTTATTAATAATTATTTGCATGCTTGAAATTTAAATTATACAATTAATCATAAAATGTCTACATGATTGTTTTTATTATAACAATATTTATTATAGATAAGAAATAAAAAAAAAGAGAAAAAGATTAACTGAAATACCTCTTGAATGAGCTCTATTGAATTTTTAAAATAGGGAGATTTTAGGTGCTTTGTGGCAACCTTTCACATTACAATATGCCTCACAAAATCTTAAGAAATACAAAAGAGAGAGAGAGAAAAAAAAAGAGAAAATTTCGAGCTCTAAGAGAAAAAGAAAAAAGAGTCTGGACGAAATTTGGAGCCCTGAGAACTGTGCCCAAGCTATCTATTTATAGGCATCAGAAAGTGGCCAGAACGGTCCGTTCCAATTCTAGAACGGCCCGTTCTGGATCCGAACGTTGTGTGTTAATCACGCACCTGGGAACGGCCCGTTCTGAACTAAGAATGATCCATTCCGGAGTTGAGATTAACACTATATTCCCTTGCTTAGAACGGCCCGTTCCAAACTAGGTTTTTAGGCCTTTTTAACAGTTTGGAACGACCTGTTCTTGTTTAGGAACGACCCGTTCCAGACCAAGTTTTTTAGGCCTTTGGATTGGTTTGGAACGGCCCGTTCCGGTTTTGGAACAGCCCGTTTCGGGCCACTAAAACTAGTTTTGGGATTTCGGCCCTCTGATGTCCTGTCTTGTTGTTTTCCTGCTTTGGGAGTTCCTTTCCTTGATAATAGACGTCCATTTCTTTGTTTGTATGCCCCCCAGACGAAATTGGGTGTCTACAATGGATAATTGGAGTTGCTCGGTACGATTATCTTGTTGGGTTTGGAAAGTAGCAAACTTTTCAGCCATGATTTGGATAGAATCCTCCAAATCCTTGGTTGATTTAGGGGGCATGATGAAAGCACCAATGATAGGTATCTAATTTTAACTCTACCTATCTACGACTAAGATTAATATGCAAATAAAACAATACTTCATTCATGTCATTCTCCAAGAGAAGACGCTTCTTAAATACAAAAGGGAAATATAATAACGGCTAGTACATTGCTTCCTAAAATAGCTGTTGAGAAATAAAACAAGCTAAGAATTTATAATTCAAATTCATTCATCCAATTGGGCTTCTTAATTAAATGTTTGGGCCTATCTTGAGTCTCTAGCTGGTTGGGCTTATCATAGGGCAACAACCTCAACCATGAATATAAATAATGGAGTGAGCGTTGGTATCCCTACCATGGAGGGATGGAACATGCCCATGTTGATCCCACTACAAGTGGGACAAGTTGTGGTACTGGAGGAGAATAAACTTCCTCTAGTGTCATTGAAGTCTTGATGCCTTCCTTTAACAAAGGAAGAAGGGAAA